TACCACAGCGGCCTCGGCCCTGCTGGCCTCTCGATCTCAAATCAAATACCTTGGGCCTCTAGCCTGAACCCTGAGCCTGATCCAACTTCCTTTTCCTCTCTATCTCTAGATCAATCTCCCTCTCTCTAGCTCTCGCAATCATATCCTCCAGTGTCTTGCAATTGGATCGGCTCACGAACTGCGAATATCGTTCCACAAAATCTCATGGTATCTTGCCTTCTTCATCTCCTCATCTGCCACATACTGCGGAACCAAAAACGCCCTCTCGCCGAACATAGCAGTGATCTTGGTCACCGTCTTAGTAGTCTGGAAAAGGTCCTGGAACTCCCTCGCCAACTGCTGCACCTCAATCACTGGTGCAAACTCTACTCAAAAACTAGTAACAAAATCATCCCATGTCATCGAATCAACCGATGCATCACCCACGAAGCACCCAACCTCCTCCCACCAATCTCGAGCTCTGTCTTTCAGAAGACAGGAAGCAAGTCTGACCTTTGCCCCATCGGGACAACAGCTAGTGCAGAAGGCATTAGCGACATCCGCTAATCATCGTCTGCTCGTGATCGGGTCCTTCTCCCCGAAGTACTCCGGAGCCCTACATGCTCAGAACTAATAGAAAGTCAACATGCGAGCTCCCATCAATGCCACCATGTCAGACTGAAAAATGCTCAAACACTCATCCAAAATCTCCAGAATGCCCTCCTTGACAATAGCAAAGATCACCGGAGTCTGCTCTAGTATGTTGTGGGTAATCTCAGACGAAATGAACTCCTGCGTCTGATCATCCAACTGTCCGGCTCCGGACCCCGAGCCTGAATCCTCACCAGCACCAGAACCACTAACCGGTCTTCTTCGAAGAGTCACCATACTAAAAAATAGACCATACTAACCATCAGATTACGCATATATATATATATATATATATATATATATATATATTATATATATATATATATATATATATATATATATATATATATATATCGAGGAGTCTCATACTCTACAAGCTTCCTGGTATCATCACAACTTTCCTTGACTCGAGTATAGATCCTATGCTTCCAGTAGTACGGGCCCATACTACCTTCCACATCTATCCATACTATCCTCATGGATCGCTTTGAATCCTCCAAGTCACTCCTTATTCATACATACAATCCTCAACAAGACAAGGCTCCCAACATAAAATCTCTTCCTAGGTTTTCCTAGGGCAACCACCACACTACTTCCCGCCATCATTTGCAGAAGGAACTCCCCCTAACATCCTATTACTAGCTCACGAATACAATTACATGTCGGTGACACCAAATAATTCTTTGAATGAAAGGTCTCACACTACAACGGTTGAACTCAAACAAGAGCTGCGCAATAGAGTTAAAACCTAAACTTCTAAAATTATTTTGTCTCAACAATATGTAACTTAGTGTATTCGCTTACTAGTTAGATGAAGTTAATGGGAACTCCTAAAAGCACAAAGCAAGCAACATTCAAGCATCGAGTAATCAGAACAAGCATAACCTAATAAGGCCATCCTATCGTTGACTGATTAGTACTAGCATGCAAGTCAACAAGTACATAGAGTAGGCATATAAAGACATCTCTTCTAGCATTCTATCATGCAAATCCTGAGCAGATCCTTATCCCTAACTAGCATGCGATTCACAAATTCACAAATCAAAACATATCATAAAACATGTATGGGTATTTTGGGAAAACTTACTTGAGCTCGGTCGATTGCATGCACCACAACCTTTTCTTTTATTAGAAACCCCTTTTTGCAATACATTTTTTTTAAAAAAACTCTACCAAACCCTTAGTTTGAGTTCAGACACACCCGAGAGTATGGCCGAATCCCTCAAACCAAGATTCTGATACCAACTTGTAACGTCCTAAAAATTAAGACTAGAAATTTCGATTTTTAATTTAATAAAACCATTATCTAAAACAACATCATGAAAACCATAGAAAACCAGTGTGTATCAATAAACATCCCAGTACATCAAATTAATATAAAATGTGGAACAATGTGGTGTGTGCTCTGCAATCATCCCGGGTTCTTCCCCTTCGAGCCAGAAGTACCTGAAACATAAAATGAAAACCGTAAGCACAAAGCTTAGTGAGTTCCCCAAAATACCACATACCACACATATCAAACATATAATGGGCCCTGCCCGGTATACATAAAAACATATAAACGCATGCAAAAATCACAAAGATAAATAACATACAATATAATCATCAGGCCCCACCCGGCATCAGGCCCCGCCTGGTAAACAATTCAGAAAACATACATGCAGAGTCACGCTGAAAACTAATATCCTAATCATAAAAAACCATGGGCCAACATTGGTGCCTTTGACCCGTTAAACACAGTGAGGAAACTCACCTATAGCTGCTCAATCTCTCAAATAAAATCTCGGTCTGTTGATCTTGAAAGTTCTTGCACTATCATCATCAAATAATACCTAATTAATAACTGGATGTTAACCCACAATCAAGAATCTAAATTACTTGTCCAACATTGAGGGTAAAAGACCATTTTACCCTTTTCTTACTTGGCCCAAAACAAAGGCCCAACCCATTTACTCAAAAGGCCTAAATTCCTAAATGGCATCCTAAGGCCCATTATGGCTCATCATCCTAATTGGGCCCAAAAATCACCATTGACCTAATTCCAAGAAAGCCCCTAGTCTATCCATGACCCAAAGTCAGAAGTTCAATGGCCCAACAAGGCCCAAACCCTAAAATCCCTAAATAATCCCGAGTCCAAAATGCCCAATGCCGAAAGCCCACTTTGTCGAGTACGCCCGACATACTCCTCGTATGCGTGGCATACGAGTGTTGACTCGAAAGCGGTTTGGCTGACCCAATACGCACATCGTACCAAGCATTACGCCCCGCGTACCAGCCAGAGTCCTATAGTCTGATTTTGGTATTAACCACTTAAGTTCTTAATGTCCAAACCTCAGATCTACTCCATTTAAAGGTATTAATGCATAAAGATGGCAACATTATCATCTTGCATGTCTTAATGGGACCCTAAAACCCGATTTTTTCCATTAAGACCCATAATAAGGACTCTAACTCATGCATGGACCCATATGATTCATCAACATAACACCTTTTTACACAAGGAACATCAGAGGGGTTAAGATCAAGCATCCTAGCTCATAGAGTGTCCCAAACACCTAAAGAGAACCCAAAAGACCAATATAAGCTCAAAAACAAGCCCTAATCTCAATCTAACACAAGGAGGTTCCAAGATAAGAACTTTATACCTTCTGGAGCTAGCAAACTTGATGAAGATTCTGGATCTACAACCTCAAGTCCAACCAAATCTTGGTCACCAAGCACCACCTTCTTCAATGCACATAAAACAAAACCAAAATTACTTCCAAAGCTCAAGAACACACTATGGAAGGCTAGGGATTCGATCTTAGGGTATAGAGTGATGAAGGATGATCAATGGAAGGTCCATGGGTGTTATAAGTTGCTTAAATAAGGCACAAAACCCTAAAAATTAGGGTTTTCCCCTACATTACGTATGACATGCGTACTCCCACGTACACACCGCGTACGTAGGTTAACCTGCGTTCCTAAAATGAGCTAGTACGCTAAGCGTACTTATAGAGTACACCCCGCGTACTAGCTAGGGACCAAAAAGATAGAAATTTTGCATACAGGGAGTTAAAAGGGAAACATACCAAATCTCAAGTGTTACACCTAAATCCAAACTAGCCCAAAAGGCATTCGAAGCCCAACTAAAAGACCCGAAGGCACAATATGGGCCAAATAGCTCCAAAATAGGCTAAAACCCAAAAATGTCTTGTTACTACAGAAAGGCTTGAGGCCCAAGCCTAAACAAGGCAAAAAGCCCAACAAAACCTGAGCCCAAAATCCCTTAAGCCCACAGACTACGTAAGTGCGGTGTACATGGCTTGTACGACCAACGTATGTAGTTGATCGGGAATCGGGGCACTGGCCCAGTACGCGCAACGTACTCAGGAGTACGCGCGTCGTTCTGGTTAGTCAGCCCAAAAACGTTCAAATGTCTTAACCCATTAAGCTTTAACGTCCAAAATTCAGATCCAAGCTCATAAAAGTGTCTTAAGCCATAAAGTTGCAAACTTTATGCTTTTGCATGACTTAATGGGACTCAAACCATGGATTAAGCCTTCTATCTCCCTTATGTGGTCACCAACTCATGCATGGTTAAGTCTTAACCTCGAAGATATGATTTTTATGACTTCATGCACCCCCAAGAGTCCAAAAGGACAACTCAAATGGCCTGGAGTAGCCCATACTCCAAAAGACCAAGCTATATGAGCAAAAGATGCTAAGTTCTTCCCTAAACCTAGATCTAAGCTTAGAATGAACAAGTTTCAGACTTTATACCTCCAATTGGCTAGAAATGATGCACAACGTATGGATCTACAAGCTTCTTCTTGTCCTTTGCTTCTCCTCAAGCCTCCTTATTCTTCAAGATCACAAAGGAACACCCAAAACTCTTAGTAAGCTCAAGAATGCTCTTCAAGGTGGCTAGGGTTTCGAGATTAGCACAAAAGACAATGGGGATTGATAAGATAAATAGGGTGAAGGGATTAATGTGTTTAATAGGGTGCAAACCTTAATAATTAGGGTTGGCCTCTGGCTCGCATACGCATGGGTATGCCCAAACGTACGCAGGGGACACCCCCGATACGCTCATGCATGGAAGTACGCCGTGCGTACCTGGTGTACACAGTGTACTCCGGTCTAGTCCAAGGGTAAAATGGGGTTTTACTTGATGATTCTGGGCGTTACATTCATACTCCTTTTCCACTACTTTCTGCACATCTGCAGGTAGCATTCCTTCATAAACCACCTCGGAAAGGGGTACATTTGACATTTTGACCTTCTTCTTTGGAGCCTCCACCTGTATCATAGAAAACTAACAAATGTTACTATATAAGTTGTTGTATATATTCTAAATCTACATATACACTGTCTCTATTTGAAATGGATTATCTCCAATTATCTCCTATTGCTATAGCAACATTTTCAACCCACATAGGCATCCTGCATTTTACATTGATTTTGGTTGGAGCCTTATCCAAATCAATTTTTGATGTTTCTTTTGTCACTGGAACCTCAACTTCATCTTCTTCAATAACCTGGAATCACAAAAACAAATTAAAAATCCAATCTATTCTTCACACCAATTATCAAGATTTGATTAATAAACCACATGTGCAGACTCCACAGACACATTTCCATGTAAATTCAAACGGGCTTTCACCTTCACCTTGGCCCTCTCACCTTTTGTTGTTTGAAAGGGACCAATCTGGACACTATTGTCAATTAAAAAGTTAAAAAAACAATAAGCATAATCATGAAATTATTTGAATGTAAGCAATGTTTACCGTGTATTTACTGATCTTTGGTGGTGCCTGCAATTCGCTGACATCAGCATATTGCACATCTACTATGAATGTGCCAGCCTAGTAAAATGTCAAAACTTTCACACGTGAAATTGGATTTCCTTTTGGGAAAACAATTGTGCTTTGTTGACTCTCCACATTTCCATTCTGGGATTCTTGGGAAGAACCTTTCCATGTTAATGCAATTGGAAAATAGGAGTTTTCTTGGACCTTCAGAAAGAATAAACAATTCAAATTAGGGTTTAATACATTACATTTTGACTCATCATTAAGGAAAACATCAATACGCATTTGCCTGGCAAGCTCTCATTCCCAAGATCAAATCCAACTACACTCATCTTTGCTGAGTAGAGTAACTCGTTTAATAAATGAGAAGGAGTCACTCTGGACACATGAAAGGTAATTAAAACATTCAACAATTGTTCGATTACTCATCTACAGAGCATATGTAAACACCATGTAATGAAATTTGAAGTTCCTTTACATACACAATAGTACTAGTACAAGCTTTCACATTACTAATTATTGACTTTGAACTACAACCCTCACACGTTTATCTTTCGTTCTAGATGGTGAACATACCAACAAACAGATTTACTGCTGAAATTTTAACATGTAAACAACCTATGATGTATACAGTTCATATGTATAAAGCAGGAAGCTTCAATCACTGCAGATACACCTATAAATTTGTTTCAAAGATTTTAATATCGGTCTGATTTAAAAAAAAACTTATGAAACAAGTACTGAGATTTCTTTCAGTTTCTAACAAACTAACACAACGTGGTAAGAACACATTGGTCTGATTCTGTCTAAATCCCTAACCTTTTCCTACTGTGAGCATACTCGACCACAAAACCTACTAGATCTGCGAAATTTTAAAAGGCTGAAAAGGCATTTACTAAATCAAAAGGCAAATCAAACGCGAAGACGAATATCGAGAACGACTGCGACGTGAGAGAAAAAACCTTGTGAATTCTCCAAATACTTTGGTAAGGGATATATACACTAAAGTCCTAATATTTTCATCGATTTAACAAGAAAGTCCTAAAGGGGATATATACACTAAAGTCCCAATATTTTCATCGATTTGACAAGAAAGTCATAAACTTTATTTTTTTGACAGTAAAGTCCAAATTACCGGCAGTTTTTGACACTTTTACCCTTTTTTTCCGGTTAGCCGGTAATTAGGACTTTTTGTCAAAAAAATAAAGTTTAGGACTTTCTTGTCAAATCGTCAGTTAGGACTTTACTGTCAAAAAAATAAAGTTTAGGACTTTCTTGTCAAATCGTTGAAAATATTGGGTTACGAAAATACACTAAAGTCCTGATATTTTCAACGATTTGACAAGAATCTCCTAAATTTTATTTTTTTGACAGTAAAGTCGTAATTGACGATTTGACAAGAAATTCCTAAACTCTATTTTTTTGACAAAAAAGTCCTTATTACCAGCTAACCGGAAAAAAAGGGTAAAAGTGTCAAAAACTGCCGGTAATTTGGACTTTACTGTCAAAAAAATAAAGTTTAGGACTTTTTGTTAAATCGATGAAAATATTGGGACTTTAGTGTATATATCCCTTTTGATAGTAAAGTCCTAATTACTGTCAGTTTTTGAATGTTGACCCTTTTTTCTGGTTAGGCAGTAATTAAGACTTTACTGTCAAAAAAATAAAGTTTAGGACTTTCTTGTTAAATTGTGAATTAGGACTTTACTGTCAAAAAAATAAAGTTTAGGGCTTTCTTGTCAAATCGTTCAAAATATTAGGACATTAGTGTATTTTCATAGCCCAAGAACTTTTAATTGTGATTTTCGTCACAACACCACTATTTTTCTTATCGTCATCATCTTTACCCTAATACAATCACGATCAGGGGAAACCGATGCAAAAGAGAGAGCGAGGGGGTGAGAAGACTTGTAAAGCTTTCTTCTTGGTTCACCGCCAAATATTGAACTGAAAAGAGGGGACATATTGTACAAACACAAACAACACATGCCTAGTCAAAATCATGTGAATGTAGAGAAGGGATACGAAGGGCAGTTTGTTTTTTCCGGTTTCTCAGTTCTTCATTTTTAGGACTGCAAAAAGCCAACACAACCCTGGTTCTTTCTTTCTTGATTATCTCCATTTTTCAATGTTGGTTTGTTGAGATTAAAAATACTATTTAACAAAAAACAAACATTAAGGATTTCAATAAGATCTAGCTGACCAGAGAAGGCCTCAGTAACTCTTATGTTTAAAGACTATCATACCATTAAATTTCTAGGTTATGGTTTAGAGCTAGTTTGAGCTTGGGAACTCCTGGAATGGACTGGAAATCAGCTTAAGGAATTAAGTCATTCTGACTGACCCCCATGGCGTGGTGGAGCCTCACCACGGTGTCGTGATTGGGCTGAGCACGCTTGTTTTTTCGTATTGTGACCACGACATGGCCATGGATGGCCACGATATGGCGGTCAGCTGTAGGTTAACTTTGATCGTTGACATTAACCCAAGTTTGATGTAACGCCCGCAGATTCAGTCTAGTCAAATTAGAGACAATAAGTGTTAAAATGACTTTTTGATAGAAGATTATTTAGAATAAATAGTCTTAACCAAAGTATACTATATGTCACAAGGATTCTGTACATATAAAGAACGCTAAAATCCGACTTATAACGAAGAAGTTATGACCCGTCGAAGTTTTACGATTAAACTGGCACGGTTCCGCATAACGTCAAAAGTGAATTTTTTACGAAATACTTTTTAGCCTTAGAAATCCAAACGAAAGTCGTAGTATACGTTAAACTGAGAACGTGCATATAGAGAACGTCCAAATTTGATTTCGTTAGAGGAAGTTATGATTTTTCTAAGATTTTGCACAACAGTATACATCCCGGAAATCGAATTTTAGATCGATCGATCGATTATTAGCCGACACAACCTAAATGAGATTTGAAGATCTCGTTAATAGGAGCTCAACGATATAAAGGCAGTTGAAAACGGACGTCGGATGACAAAGTTATGAAATTTTAACGGACTATAACTGTCTAAGCCTCTTAAAATATAACTTTAAAAATAAAGTCAAAATTAGCCTACGAAGTCTAAACGAAAGTTGTGGATCACGTCGCTACCTACGCGTGGATATAAAGAACGTAAAAACTGAGCTCGTATTCGAAAGTTACGGATTTTAGAAGATAATTAACTTTTCTATTAAGTTCCGGAGGTGACACGTGGCACCATCACAACCACACCTTCTTCCCCACGGCTTCGCACGCGATCGTGACACCTGGCACTTCAACACTCCATGTTCATCCCAAAAACACTCCATGTTGCAGAATTCCACAACCTATAAATAAGGGCGAAAATCACTCCATTTCTCACACCATTCTAACCCATTCTCTCCTAACACCCCCAAACCCTCAAGGATTTTCCCTATCACCTCCTAGGTGTTGGTAGCGAGTCCCGGAGCGCCATAAGGCCCTGAGAAGAAGAGCTTTCGTCTCAGAAGTTTTGTCCACACAGAGCCCGGTTCCTCGCTAAACCCCCAGTAAGTGAGTTATGCTTACCATACTTTAAGTATAACTTATGTTTAAGTTCATTATCGTTATTATGAACCTATAAACAAGATTTATCATTGATTCCAAGTCGTTATATTGATTGACCTACTTACGGGGATGATGTCTAGGCTGTGATTTAGTGAGGTGTTTAAAGTGGGATTTTCAAACAGTATACTTCGTTTACGAAACAGACTCTACCTCCGATATGATCCTACCTGATTGTTCCTTACATGATAGATCATGAAGTAGACTTTAACTTAATGATGAATCTAGACTAATAAATAGTCGCAATAAATATTAGACTAAAATCTAGTAATAATGATAGTAGGTTTCGTCGAAGGAAAAGAAAATTGTTAGAAGCGAAGCGCTGCCCAAATTTCGAGTCATCACTTTAACAAGTGAGTGCATAGTTACTTTCATCTTACACATAGATATGAAGTATTTAATATTAATACATGATATATATGTATTTTTATACCTATAAATATATTGGGTAAAGATGGGTAGAAGAAAGATGATATGGATGATGAGAGATGAAAGATGATATAGATGTTGAGAGGTGAAAGATGATGAGAAGCCTTGACTTAAATGATGATCATGTCATCTAGCAGAGTATAGATGACGACCACGGACTATTCTAGACAGTCCAGTGGAACGCTAGCAGGCTCGCAACCTGTAGGTATTTTTGAACTACTTGTTCACCAGATGTACTCTAAAAACCCTGGAAGCTATGGACTTAGTGCCTTATAAATGAACGTTGAAAGCTATGGATTTAGTGCCTTATAGATGAACATTGGCAGCTATGGACTTAGTGCCTAACTAGATAACATCGGCAGCTATGGACTTAGTGTCTGTTAGATAAACCTTGGCAGCGATGGACTTCATGCCTATTCCTTAGAAAAATCCTTAGGAATGAATATTGAAGAATAGATAATTCTTAGGGTAGATCCTTAATAATAAAGAAGATAATGAGAATGGGTAATCGGGTTAATTGTTGGACATGAAGTATGCGAATAAAACAAATTAACTATATTATTGTGGGTTGAAAACCCTATGTACTCACCAGGTTTCCCAACCTGACCCACTTAGTTTATTTGTATCAAGGTATCAATGCGAAGATACTTATACTGAGAGATTAAAGGAGATGTAATTCATTAGTGTAAATGAATGTAGAGTCTGTTTATGCTTATGTTTTTGGTATGACGATGACATCCAACGTTTTTAATATAATTAAAATACATATCTTCGGAAATGCTTTGATAACATCTTTATCATGTTTTTTTGGGAACAAATTCCGCAATATTATTGTTTAAAATGGATACTCTGATTTTTAAATAAGCATAAATAAAAATTTTAAAATGACCTTGAATTTGGGGATGTCACATTTGACTTAGGGGCGTTTTCGGTATTTTGATTAGTAGCTTGAGCTTAAGTGATCGTGATCGTATAGGTGGCTGGTAGAGTCAACACTTGGTGTAGTGATCTGGGTAGCTATTTCTTCAGATTGTGAAGTGAGTTTTCCTCATTGTACTTATGGGTCGAAGGCACCAATGACGTCCCATTAGATTATGTATCCTGGTATAGAGGATCTTGATATGAGATAGTGATCCGTTAGATCGGTATCCTTGTAAATAGGATGTAGTATACAATATTGATATGTAGATGTGACTGTTTGTCTATTGATTGGTTATATGTTAATCCGTTTGCTAGATAGATGTTATATGTTATGTATATGTCAACATTATATGGTTAGGTTGAGGTAGTACTACTTTGTGCGGTAGCCAACAAACCCGGGAGCA